TCCAGCTCTTTCTTTATTCCTCCTACACCACCTCCCCTACCTCACTGGCACCTCCAGTCCCTGGACATCCTCTTTTTTCCTGGCCTGACTGGACAACCTTCCTTCACTCACTCTCCTCCCCGGCCCCCTCAATGCCCTCACCTCATCCTTCTCCACAGCTCCCTGAGTGCCCAGCCTGGGTCATTCCAGTCAACTGCTTTCTCCCAGTGACACGTCTATCGGCCATCCAGGATGGGTCCGTGCTCCTCACACCATCCCTAGTGAGTGCCCTTGCCCCTTCCTCACAGTGGCTCTTGCTAGAGTTTGTCACTCTCCTCAAACTCAGCTCCCCACAAAGATGGCCTTGCCTCCACCTCCAGAAGAAATGTGGCTATCAGCTAGAAATCTCCTTCATTTTTTACCTTTTTCCATACAAACATATCTGCGCCTGCACAAACTTGGCTGTTGCAAAGGAAGACGTTGTTCCTCCTCTTCCCTCAGGCCCAGTCCTCCACTGGGTTCTCAGCCCTGCCATCTGTGTGCTCCCAAACCCTGCTCTCTGCCCAGGTTTGCTAACCTCTCCGTCTCCACTGGATCTTTATCTCACTACACACACACACACACACACACACACACATACAAATACCACAGTGTCCGGCACACACCAGGGCTTGTAAATACTTGTTGAATTAATTAGTGGGTGTGTCTTCCCCTTCTCCCTTGCCCTGCTGGACCCGACCTGAGCTTATCTGCCACAAAAATGACCCGTCGCTCCAGCAGCAGTGAGGCAAAGATTCGGATGAGCTGGCGCACGCTGAGGCAGGTAAAAAGGCACTCAAAGTCTACATGCTCCAGCCGGGAGTCCATGGGCCGTCGCAGCTCTAACACCTGCAGGAGAACAATGGGGAAAGTGGGTGCTACCCCCAGGTCCCTACACAAAACAACTAGACACTGGTTTCCCCTTCCCACCCTCTCTTTTCAAGGATCTCTCACCTACCCCCACTATGCAACAAGACTCAGTCTCCTCCACCCTTAAGACTATAGCTCTGTTCCCCAACAACTCAAACACCCAGTATGTGGGCAAGAGGGCTAACTGTGAGAGTGGAGAAGACTCCAGAAGGAAGGAGTTGAGGGACAATCCTTCAGGATCTCAGGAAAAGGAGGAGAGCTAACTGCTCTTACAGATAAGGAGAACAAGGGAACTGCACAACCTCGTCTATAGGGTCCTTCCCAGGCAAAGGTCTTGTCCCCTACACTGACTAGACCCCACAATTGATCACTGCTCTCCAGGCCACAGGAAGAGCAAGATCTCTGCAACCCAGGACTCTATTCTCAGCCATCTCTGGAAAGGCTCATGTCCTTGTTGCCCTGTGACCTCCTTTTCCTGATACAAAGAGCTTCCTTCCAGAAGTTATGTTTCTCCTGCCATCCTGGCCTTTATCTCCATCACCCTAAGTCCCATGCCAGGGACAAGGAAAACACAAAGAAAGAGCTATCTGGTCCACAACCTTGCCAGGAATCAGGACTGTCTTTATCAGGACCAGGCCTAGCTCTCTTCCCTCCAAAGGCTGTTCCCAAGGTCAGTGCTATGGCTCAGAGAGCCACATCCCTGGGGGCAGTCATGGGGGTGGAGGGTAGCAACTGACTCCAGCAGGAAGAACTCCAAAGTGGCTGTCACTGGGGCCTGCCTAGTCTCATCCCTTAGTGTTTGTAGGCAGCATAAATGTGCCGGCCTGCTGAGAGCCAGGGTGAGAAGTGAATTCCCTCTTATAGCCCTATGGTATCAGAGCTCTGTCTTTTCAAGGGGCTTTTACCCCACATCACCTTGTTTACTTCTCAGGATCTAAGCAAGCAAAGGAGTTCTAACTCCTATCTCAGTATCCATTCCTCTGGGCCTGAGAAAAGCAGCAAAGTGAGCACAAGTCTTCATAACGATCTGTTTTCGCTGTTGCTCCTGTGAAATGGTGAACTCCCTGAAGGCCCAGTGATTGGCACAACGCTGGGTACACCCCAAATGTTCAGTGCATGTGGACTGAGGAATGTCATAGCACAATTACGCCAGAGGTCTTCGTACCCGCTCCAGTCCCTGTCCCTATCCCAGAAGAAGTCAAAGTGAAACTCCACAACCCTCCCTCCTGACAGCCTTGCGTGCAGCCCAGCAAGCTCTGTTCTGCAGCATCCAGCCCCACACTCCTACCAACCCTGAGGGTTCAGGCCCCAAGGGTTGAGAACTCATACAGGCTGCTCAGGGAGACTGATGTAAGGACAGAGGGAGGGTGTGATTAACATCTGCTCAGGGAGCCAGCAGGGTATCTATAAACGGCCTCAACTGGGGTGGGGAGGGGTCAGGGAAGCATCTCAGAGCAGAAAATGCTTGACTTGGATTCCCCAAATAAAAAAGAAGGGAAGTATCTGCTGGGCAAAAGAAAGCAGGGTTTGGGGAACAGTAAGTAATTCAAGTTAGAGAGATGAGAAATGAGCCCAGTGAGGTGACCAGGCCAGTTCCTGAAGAACTCCCAACCATTATGTTGGGCTATCAGGGCAGAGTCAGCTGTCCTGCCCCCCAGACCACTCATGAAACCTAAAGTCCCTCTAAACAGGGATGAGAGAAATGAGGCTAAGGGATAGAACTTAGGTGGGTATTTGCCACTGCCCAGAAAGCCTAACATGATTCCCTAGTTAGTCCCTCTCCCACACTTTGCAACAACTAATTTATTCTTCCCTCTCCCAGAACCCAACACCTATCTCTTACTCTGCGGATGACCTTCCTTTCTACTTTGAGAAAACCACAACCACCACATGAGAATCCCAAATCTATAAGCCATTGTTCTTGCCTCCTCTCCTAACAAAAGCCAATCCCTCCATGGAGCCCAGGACCTGTGCCTTCTCAGTGACAGTCTGACCACCCCCTCCCTATCCTACATCTTTAACTTCTTTCTGGGGACCATTCCCACCAGCATCCAGACAACCGTCTTTAACAAACTCTCCCCTGGCTCCACCTTTCCTTTCATCTACTACCTGTTCCCTATGTCTCTTCACAGCCACACCTCCTGAAAAGATGTCTACACAGGCTGTTTCCACTTGTCCACCCTATTCTCTTTTCAACTCACTCCATCCTGGTTTCCAGGCCCAGGCTCCCTCTGAAATCTGCTCTTGTCAAGGCCTCCTGCCATGCCCCATCCCACCTCGTGGGGTGTCTGACTCACCCGATCACTCCTGCCCTCTTGAGATGCTCCCTCCCTTGGCTTCTGAGCCAGGGCCCTCTCCTGGTGCTTCCATCTCCTTCAACTTCAGGACTGCTGCTCCTCTAATGCAGGCCTCTACTTGTCAGGGTTCCTCAGGCCTGAGGAGGACCCAGCCCCGGGCTCTCTTCTCTTCCCTGTCTACACGCTTTACAACTAAATATCTTCCCTTCGGTTTCTCATGGATATCTCAAACTTTACAAGACAAAATTGGACTCTTCCTCTTCCTCACCTGCTTCTTCAGGTACTCCCATCTCAGTGTATGTATGGCTCCATCATCTACCCTGATGCTCAAGCCAGAAAATGGGGAGTTGGCCTTAAAATCTCTGTAACACTTATTCCCTGTTTGCAATCAAACATAAAGTACCATTGATCCTAATTCTAAAATATATCTCAAATACACCCACTTCTCTTCATCTTTTCCATTACACCTTAATCTCTTGCCTGACTACTGTGATAGTATCCCAGCTGCTCTGTTTTCACTCCAACCCATTATCCACATAAACTGCCAGAGTGAGCTTTTTAAAACATATATCAGATCTTATAATAACCCTGCTTTAGACAAATCCAAAATCCTTAACTTGGCCTAACAAACCTCCCCGCCACCACTACCCTTTCAACTATGTTGGCTTTTTTCAGTTCCTTGACAAGCACACATACTTTCACCTTTGCACATGCTGTTCCCTCTACCTGGAATAATCTCTTCCCATCCATAACCTCGGTCTCCCTCCTCCCACTTCATTTAGTTGCCTCCTACTTAGATCCCTGGTAGAATGTCACTTTCTCACAGAAGGCCTTCCCTGGCTCCTAATCTAAAGCAGAGTCCTTGTCGCACACTCCCATAGGATCTTATGCTTTCACATGGCTTTTAACACATTTAGGAATTATCTCTTTATATGTAAAAGTATTTATTTAATATCAGAATCTCTCACTAGACTGTAAACTCCATGAGACAGAGCTGTGTGCCTCTTTAATTGTATGACTCTGTCCCAATATCTGGCACAATCCCTGATTGTGAGAGGGCACATATTCAGTAAATATTGAATAAATGAACAAAAGGAAGGCAGGTGGAATGCAGTTTAGTCCAAAAAGCTCAGAGAAGGCCCCTCAGAGGGGCAGAGAGTTTGGCAACATTTACAGTCCCATTGTTCACTTTTTCAATCCCTATTTGACTAGGTATATGGACATGGTAAGCAAGGAGGGGCCAAGTTCTGCACCTCCCAGAGACTGCAACCTTGGGTAGCCAAGTCCCACTTCAGCCTCAGCCCATGGCCTGAGAGAAGAGGCGACGGAAATCCCTACCTCATTGCCAGCACCTGGCAGGAATGTCTTCACTTTGATGGTCTTCCCTGGGGCTGGGAAGGGCGACTCCATGAGACTTCTCATGAAGGGATAGACCAACGCAGCAGAGATCCCACGCCGGCGCTCCACCTCATCTAGGACCTGTGCCCACACCAGCAGCCCAAAGAGGAAGGGTGTCAAGGCATTGCCCTTCCCTACTTCCTGGGCAGCGAAGAGGGCAGCCTGGCATCTGACCAGGCTGGGCCAGAAGCTGGAAGATGGGAGGACTGTTTTGCTGGGATCTTCACACCCTACTCTTCCTGTTTTCCTGTTTTCAGTGACTGCTCTGTTCCCTAACTGGCCTTGCTTCAGTCCCCAAGAGCAGAGTAGCCAAGCAAAGGAAATACCACCCAAGAATTGACTCCCTGGGCATGCCTGGCTTCCTCAAGGACTCTGGCTCTGCCCATGGCCCAGGGTAGCTGTGACAAGAGCAGATACTACCAGTCACTACCAGCACAGGAGCTGGGAAAATGCCAGCTGGCTAGGTAGGGAGCAAGGCTTGGGAATAAGGAAGGAGTCAGAAAGATCACTGGTACTTGCTCTTATACTTTTTCTCTCTCCCGCTCTATCACATGCACAGGTGGTTTTCTCATCTAAGCTTGCTGCATATACTCCTATGGGAGCTGTCAGCTAGGGGGAGGGGGAGGAAAGCAAGTCAAAGCCTCTTACCTTGGAAAACAAGCCGAAGCAGCCAAGGCGGCTGATGACACAGTACACCTCTGGCAACCGAGGTCCCTTCCCACTTGGCTGGGCCAGGACAAGGAAGAGGAAAGAGAGACGGACACAGAAAATATCTAATTACTATATTTGGCTCCTTTTCCTTGTGAACTGAGGACTAAGGACTGCCCTTCCTCTGGAATCTTGGAGCAAGACTCCAAACCTCTTCTAAACCTCTATTCAACCAGGCCCCCAAAGGAAAGGCTGCCACTCTTCAGGGTCAGGTCTCGGCCTCTGCTGTGTCTTCCAGCCCTAGGTGCCAGGCCCTTGCCACGCTCTACACAGCCTTCACCCCTCTTTTCAGGAGGATACTGACAGGGGGCTGGCAAAAGACAAGGCAGTGTAGCAGAAGCTATGGGGCGACTGGTGGATTTACATCCCTAAAGCTACGACCCCAGTTGACGCGATGGTATTGAGGACTTGTGTGCATTCTTAGGCGCAAGCCACAGGGGATATTCTGCAAAACATCCCTTTTCTCAACTGCTCTTTTCTCCCTCCCTTTATCCACCCCCATTCTAAGAGAGCAAATTGAAAACAGGCAAGGGAAGAAAACTACGGTGTATTCGGTGTTTACCCTATCTGAGTCCCGGCTCAGTATTTTACAAAAACCTTGTGAGAGAGGTATTTTTATTCCCATTTTATAGATGAGGCATCTAGTTCAAAAAGTTTAGGCCATTGCCTAAGGCCATGTGTCTAGAAGTCGTGGAGCCAGGGGTCTGTCTTGGCTTCATTTTTGCTGTCTTACCTCTAAAGGATGGTGCTTTCTGTTAGGAAGAAAGAGAAAGGGACATAAAGACACAGGATAGAGGCATGCTATGGAGTAAAAAACAAAAAAGAAAAAAGAGACTTAAAAGGTGGGCAGTTGGGAAAGGAAACATGTACTAAGAGCTTCCCAAGCCTGCAGCCCCCACATGTAGGCTGAGATGAGTCCACTGGAGTCCCTTCTCTAGCAAGGAGATGGCAGGGCTCTGTGGCTACCTCTGGGCTCAGAGGCCTGGTGGGCCTCGCAAGGCTGAGTGGAGAGGGAGCAGAGCAGCAGGTGCTGGCCCCTCACGCAGGCTGCTAAGCAAATGCAGATGGGGCTATTTCAGTCTCCAAACCTGCTGGCCACACGTCACAGATCTAAAGGGAAGGCAGAATCTGTTTTTGTCCATATTAGGCCTGAAACTCTCTCCTCTCTCTTTCCCTCACCCCCGCCTCCCCTAAAGCCCCAAGTGATTAAATCAAGTATGTGGGATTTGGGTTAGAATCATTGTGTCCAATCTGCAGGAATGCCGAGCTAGTGCCAGCCCCTTTGGCAGGGACCCAGCCCAGGCCCTCTCTGAGCACGCCAGGACAAACACACTCTTCCCTGGGGGCAGCAGGCCCACTGCAAAGGAACAGCTCTACTCCATCTATGCACTAGTAGAGGCAGCTTTCAGAATGCTCCTCTCCAGGCCCAGGGGACCCAGGAGTGTGCTGGCCTCTGCCTGATTCCCCGACCGGAACCTGTACTGCTCTACATGCCCTGAGCCTCACTCACTGGGCATTCCTTATCCAAACATCGCTTCTTCCCAAACTATCTTTTGGAGTGATCCAAGAGACCAGATTGGTGATAAAGGACTTGGACTCAATTTTGGCTCTGTCCATCAGTGGCTGTGTGACTTTAGGCAAGTCATTCCACCTCTGAGTCTCAATTTCCTAACCTGTAGATCAGGGAAAATAATACCCCATGGGTTACTATGAGGATTAAATAAAGGACGTACTCAAAGCACCTAGCTTGGAACATGACAGGTCCTATATGAAGTTTATTCCCTTGGCCCCTCTCTTCTATGTTGAAAGTCTGACCTTCTCTTCCAAACTATCTAAAGTTCCCTGAGGGTAGGCTACATGTCGAACTCATTTTATACACCTTCAGCATGTAGCCTGACCCTCCATAGGTGAGTATAAGTGTATCTGAATGGATAAATAAGTGGCCCAAAATCCTTCTCTTAGGTTCCTGCTATACTTTACCCTTGCCTAGGATCCCCCTCATCTACCCCTTGACTGGTTATCTGGTGAGACCTTCTCCCATTAAGGCCTGGAGACCCCAAAACACTGTCAACAACCCAATGACCTCTAGGGGAGAGTGCAAAAGGGGCCAGGCTCTGGGTCCTGCCCTCCCTCTGGCTCTCTTGTGTCTCTACCTCAATCTATTTCCCAGGACTAATGGGAAGGGATATGGGGAAGGACTTCTCTCTTCACAAAATGGCTTATATTTTCAAAACCCAATCCCTTTCCCCTAAGTTCAAGGTATCTCTCCCAGAATCCCAGAGAAGGTATTTCTCTGTCCCTGCTCAGCTTCCAGCCCGACTAGACCACAGACAGGACTCCTTCCCAGATCAGACTGGCCAGGTACGGGGGTGAGGAAGATTTTACCCCACCCAATCTGATGCATATATTGTATACATACTGCTGCGAAGATATGATCCTGCAACCAGGAAACAGCAATCAGAGCCCATAATCCCAAGGAAAATGAATGAATAGGAAGAGTTTATAAAGCTAAAAACATACGACGAATCAGTAGAAGGTAATCCACTACATCCCCTTATTGCAGATAATCTTAGATCTTGGGGCCCATCAAGAGGGGCCACTCTGAGCCCTATTATCCCAGCAGTGCCTCATCTGTGAAAGAATGTGTGAGTTAGCAGATATGGGGGTGCCTCAGGGAGCAGAACACAGGATTTCATACAAGCTAAGGTTGCAGAAGGACACACACACACACACACACACAAAGCCCATCCCCTGCCTGCCAGCCCCTGAGGACTGAATGGTCCTACTCACCAGTAAGCGCCTGCAGTAGCCAAAGCGTCTGCTGCCATCTTCTCCAGTCAGCATGAAAGAAAAGGTCTCACTGGAACAGGGAAAGGTCTGACATCAGGGAGGTATCAGAGGACCCAGAAAATAGCCCCCAAGAACAGGGACTGTCATTCATCTCAGAGGTGGAATGAAGGGCCAGGTTGCTGTAGAAGAGTAGGTTGAGACTAGGGCATGCCCCACTCAGTTACCCATTACTATGGGGTAAACGAGGCTATGCCCCCTTCCTCCCTCCAGCCAGGCCAGGCCAGGCCTCACCTGCTATACTCTGACACAGGGAGCCAGTCCTTGGCATCAGGGAAGCAAAACTGGGGAATGGCTTTGAGCCTTTCCTCTGCCTCCCGCATCTGCTTGGTGGGTCGGTCCAGCTGCAGAAAAGAGGAATATGGGGAGAAGTAACCAAGAGATGACATGGAACCTGGGGATAGGGGCAGGGAGGGAGGGGGATAGCTGAGAAGCATCTCCCCTCCTGACAGCCCTAGATGCCATCCTACCAACTGGCATGCTTCTCAGCAACTCTTGTCCCACTCCTAATTCTTACACAGGTATAAGTTGAGTCATCATCCGTCCACTGATTCATTCATTTGTTCATTCAATAAATACCAACTGAGCATTTTCTAGGTGGCATCTGATACTATGCTGTGTTGCTAGGAATATCAATAAAAAACAAAGTGGACAGTGTCCCTGACCCTGCACATTGAGAATGAGATAATCGACAACAAAATTTCAGAGGGTGCCACAGGGGAAATAAGCAGGGTGATGTAAGAGAGAATGGGTCAGGGGGAGGGGCTCCATTAGGGTATGTAAATTATATCTCAATAAAGTGGTTAAGAAAGAGAAAGAGACAGAAGGTGAGAAAAGTAGCTGGGGGCCCCCTGTCAGGACCCTAGCAGTTCTTGTGAACAATTTGGATTTTATTACTCAGCACATTGCAAGGTGCTCTCAGCTCTCATCATCTGAATGAGTACTTGCCCAAACCCACTACTTCCAAAGCCTATCTTCCCTTCTGGCTGGAAGGAAGCAGGCTCAGGGCTGCTGCAGCTAAGTGAGTAGCTACGCCAGCAACCGGATCTCTCCTTCCCTAGATGGGCCAGGCAGACAGGAGATGGTAGAGGAGGGAGATGGGGAAGGTGGGGAGAAAGATGGCCTCACCTTTGGAAACTGGTAGGAGACCTCAGGGAGGTAGGTGTTTCGGGATGGCTTCTTCTTGAGGGACACCACCACAAAGTACTCAAAAAGCTCCCGCTCCTGCCACTCGAGCAGCTCCAGCTCCAGAGTCCGATAGCTGGGCGCACGCTTCAGCATCGACTGGATGTGGACTAGGCGCTGCGTGTGGGCTGGGGGCAGGTCTCACATCAGGGGACAAGCAGGCTGGGCCCTCACAGACCTCAATTTAGCCCCCTCCACCCCTGGCTCAGGGCTCCATCTCTGTGGATCATCTCTAAATACATGAACCTAGTCTGACACCATCCTCCAGGTGGGCCTGGGGGAGAAGTGGCAGGAACAAGGTGTCTATGCCTGCACAAAGAGTCTGCTATAACACAGGAAGCTACTGGCCTGGCCCTCCTGGAGGCTGAGCTGGGGCGAATAGGACAGCCTAAGTCAGACAAACCCAGGAATGTATCGTTGGCACCCGCCCTGTCCCGATGCCAACAGGACCAGAAGACATGAAAATCCACAGAGGCCTCATCCTTGGGCCTCTATCAGAGTCCTTGGACTTGGACCCTTTGTCCCTGTGCCTAGGTCCAGGGAAGTGGGGGACCAGTGGAGGAAGGGAGGAGGGAGAAAGTTTCTGCATACTTTGATCATCCAGGAAGTTCTAGGCAGGGTTTCCTGGCAGAGAAAGCAGAGATTTGTCCAAGGCCCCTGGAATCTGAAGTTCCCAGAACCTTTTCAAGGAGGTGGCAGTCTCCTCTTTGGGGATGGGGGAGATGGGTAGCCTCAGGGACCAGTTTCCTCAATCTATGGCACATTTTTTGCAACCAGAAGACATACTTGTAATCTTCTGAACCCATATCTGACCCTCCAGATTTACAACATTTACCAGCCCAATCTAGCACCCAATTCCCATGGACAATGGCTTGGGGAAGCATGGGCAGGGTCACCAGGCTTAAATTTGGCAAAGGGAGACATTTGAATTTAACCTTGCAAGGGCTGAGTTCACATGACTGTGAGAATGGACTTCCCTATAGCTCCCTGCTCTGCTGGCCTGGTATCTTGCCTGCCTGTTGCCTCTCCACACCAGGCCAGTTTGGGACACTGGAACCACAGGTGCAGCCAGGGCTGGGAAGGGGTTCCGTGCTCTTGGGGCGCCGTGCCTCACCTTTGAACCTGTCGTCAGAGTCGCTCTCGCTCTCACTATTCTCATCTGGAAAAGTAACAGCAGGAGTGCATGCTTGCTGAGGCACTGCCCCATAGCAAGGGTTTTCTGTGCCCCCTCCCAATTCTTCTCACAAGGGATAGATCTGTACCTAGTCTGGGCTACTATGGTCTTATAGGCATCTGTGGGCAGGAGCTGTGTGGCCTGGAGCCAGGGTCCCTCAGAGCTCAGACTGTGGGTGATAATCTATATACAAACCCCTATTCAAGTCTGATCCGGGGGAAGCTGAGGGCCCAGGTTGGAGACTGAGCCAGCAGAGGGGCCTATGGGCCTGGAACATAAGGGCCCTGCCTCCAGGAGGCCAAGATTTGAAATGGGAAACAGACCACATTGCTCAGTAAGTCTGGCCTTTCCTTTTGCCAGAAGCGGATTCCCACACCCACCTCCCTACTCAGGCCTCGTAACCCAAAGCCTGAAGGAACCCATCCCAGGGCTTTCTTCCTTCTCTGGCCCTCCCTCCTATATGGCCACTTCCTGGCAGGGCTCTACCCTCCTAGAAAGCAGAAGGACCCTGTGAATGGCCCACAGAAGGGCAAACTGAGACCAGTCCATGCCCCTCCCTGTTCCTAATGCCCAAGGGCCCCAGACACCTGAACCAACCCAGGTATCAAGGCCTACCTCTCAGTGATGCTGTCTCAATGCTGGACATAGACAGCTTTTTTAACCTCTTCTTTCCCCTCTTGGCATTGTAGATGGAGTTAATTCTTTGGACAAGCTGGGTGAGAAAAGCAGGGGGGTGAGGTAACCCTAACACCAGCTGCCCGTACTTCCAAAAAGGCTGATTAGGAGCCCATCCTTGCCCTCACCGATGCAAGCTTTCTGCACTCCACCCATTGGGCCCAGAACTGGTCTCCCTATTGAATTGACCCCAAGAGGAGACTCAACAGCCATGCCTGGTAGCTCTCCATCTACCTAGTTTCCTAGGAGTGGTCTCCTGCCCCAAGACAAAGATACTAAACTTAGCTCCCCAAAGGAAGAAACTATATCAAACTAGACAGGATGGGAGCTCCTGGGTCCCAAGAGTCATTGAACCAACTGAGACAAAGAGCTTCTCAGATGCAATAACAGGAACAAGGATTCTAGCCTTTCCCCTCTGGGCCATAACCTGGGGCCCTGACAGGAAGAAGCTAAATTCCCAATATACCCAAGCATTGTTTGCAGGCTAAAAATACGATTTGTCTAAATCCTGCTGCTTTGGCTGGAGATTTGGGCCTAGCTGCCTATGTGTGAAAATCATTGCAGAAAACTCTTCAATTCTGAGAGTTAGAGAAAGGAAGATCCATGTTCAGGTCCGAGGTCCTTGAAAGCCTGGCAATGTTTATATGTGCACAGAGATCCCAAAATTCACACACAACATCACTAATGGGGAGCCTCAGCTAGCCTTTCCTTCCTCTAACATCTGAGAATAAAGAATCAGTTAATACATTTTTATCGATGAGAAAAGGGAACTGAGGTAAAAAAGAGGCCAGGCAAAAAAGAGGCCAGCACATGGACCCGGAATTTATTCAAAGGGAATTGAGGAAGCAGCTCAGATTAGGGAAGGAGGGAAGGAAGGATGGAGGAGAAGAGCTGGCTGCCTGCCTGCGCACCTGCCCAGCCCCAGTGGGCTCTGTCCAGGGAGGATACCTTGGGAATGCGACGGGCCCGACGGCTGGACAGCAGCTCACTAGTGGTGCTGAGGCTGTCCTCATTGAGGCTGGAGGGTGAAGACGGCAGGCTCAGCTGAGCCAGCAGCAGCATGTCATCATGGCTGTGCCTCTTGGGTATCCGTGGCAGCCGGTGGCTCTTCCTTTCTGACCAGTTCCCACTGCGCAGGGACTGGCTGCTAGGTTTCAAGGAGAGCTGGCATGGGGGAGAGGACATGGGAGAGGGGCTTGCCACAGATGCCTTGGCCAGTACCCACCTGCTAAGACCTGGACATGAAGCCATGGACTGGCATCCCTGGCTCCCCCCAATCCTGCCCTGAAATTTCCATCCACGCGGCTTCCTCTATTAAGACCTTAGCTGCTAATCAGCCAGATCTGGGCTAGATTAAATACTCACTTCCCCAAAAGAAGCTTCACTAACTTTTGCCAGAAAAAAAAAAGGGAGGCTAAGAAACCTGCATTTTCATCTAAGTGGAAAGAGAAGGCAAAGCAGGAATTCTGGGGGCTCCTCCTAAACTTTGGGACAAGGATTCCTGAGCCTGGACAATGGAACCAGTCTTCCCCACCTCAGACCTGAAGCTAGTCCTAAAAGGCTTCTGCTGGCAGAGGCTGTCACCTATGTGCCAGCCTGGTGTGCTGGGGTATCCTGTCACTTCCAGGCAGAACACAAGGGTTCTAGGCTCTGACAACCAAAGCCAGGTGAGGCAGGCCTCATTCAATCAGCTCCTCTAGCCCCAAGGTGCTGACTGCCCCCTCCCTGGCCCTGATCTACTCTCTCTCTCCCTCCCTCCATGCTGACACCTTTCAGAACAGGACATCTTACTGTCTTATTCACAGTGGATCCTGCTCACTGCTGGGAAGCCGAGCACCCTCTGCAGACTCCTACCCATTGTCTGGGTCTGGAACTGACTCCCCTCACTCTTTAGCAAATCCTCTGACCTCCACAGCCCCCAACTTCCTCTTCCCACCCAATCAATCTGGGAATACAAATTCAATGGCAGCCTATCTGAACAGAGGGCATGAGAAGGGTAAATCTTTAAAAAAAAATAATCACATTATTCCAAAGTAAGAATATATCATTTTTATATTCTCTGTCCAGAGTTATAAAATATCTAGGTCCCTCTATTTGCATAGAGAATTAAAGTCACCTGGGTAGGTCAGAGAAAGCCTCTCTACCCTCCTGCCTCCTGTCACCCTGGACAAAACCAGGATGAGCTTAAGACCAAAAGCCTCCTTCAACCTTTTACCTTTCCTCTCGTTCTGCCTTCTCTCCATTTATTCCTCAGAGATTCATTCTTACTCCCTCCAACAGGAGTGGCTCCAGGTGTCACAGACACCTGTCTGACTCTCCAAATCTGGTTTTTAGGCCTATATCCGGACCCCAAATTCCAGTACGAAGATAATTTCTGACAGAACTGCAGAATACCAAGACTCCAACCAGAGCCCCATCTTCCTGTTTCCCACAGAAGGGGAAGAGAAATAGTAAGACAGGAGACTGCAGGGGCTCCTGACTTAGTTTTGCAGCTCAGAGCTTAGGTATCGAGGGAAAGAAGGTAGGGCAGGATGCCCCTAAGAGCATGCCTCAATTGTCCACAGAGGTTTCAACATGGCTGAAGTCCCTTAATGCAGAGCTCCTTCTCGAGACAACCTCCTTTGCCAAGCACTAGTAAGGGAGAAAGGCTGAATGGAAGCTGGATCCAAGCCTTGAGAGGATAGGCCTCCACTGTAGCCCTCAGGCTAATCCTACAGGCCCACGTTGGGACATCGTTACCTGCGTGGGTGGGCTGTTGTACTTCCTGTCCTGTGGACTCCACATCCTGTGCAAAGAGTCCAAGGAGTTTTCAGATAGTTGCTGGGATTTTCGCCCTGCTCTTCGGTTCTTTAAGTCCACATCCTCATATGGATTCTCCTTAGGCAGATCTCCTGCAGAGGAAGAAAATTTAGAGAAGCAGGGAGTAGGGAAGAAGGAAACACATGGACACGTGCACACACACACACACACACACAAATAAACAAGCAGAATTCCTGTGAACCAAAGAGAATGGCTTCAGCCTGGACTTTTCAGTTCATGAGTCATGCAGCTGCCTGTCTGCAGTGGGGAGGCTACAAACAGATCCTGGCTCCAAGTCCAGAAGCTGAGTCCCCTCTCTGGTCCCCCCCTCCCCCCAGTTCAGCTCAGCTCAGCCTTGTCTTGCCTCTGCTTTATAAATTCAGGGATTGCACAAGACAGGCTTAGCTACCCCTGCCTGTGCCCAGCCAGAGGACAAAGCCAACACCAGGAGTCTGTCCTTGGCTACAATTCCTCTGCTGCTAAGGCCCCAGAGATACACTGTTCAAGGTAGGAAAGCTTTCAGGGGTCACACAGCTGTCTCCTTACCCAACTCTCAATGGGTCTCCCTGGGGAGCCACTTTCAGGTTGGGCATGGAGGAATTCAAAGAACTCTAGGGAGCAGGGCCTCACCAGGCCTCTCTCACCTATTATACTGTTCAACAAGTCTTTTAGGGCAGGAGTTTTGTCTTATTCACTGAGGTAACTCCAGAACCAGACCTATGATTAGCAAGCAGTAAATGCTCAGTAATTATTTGTTCAATGAATCTCTCTTACTCTATCACAAAGGTCTATTTCCTCTATTGCTGATCTCAGCAAAAAGACAACTATTATTACTTCCCTTTTGGAATAAACTATCCTGCTGTGACACAGGGGAGATGTGAAAGGCTTGGACGGAGTCTGGGCCAAAGGGTGGGGGAGTTCTTCCTTCTTGGGACTAGTTTCTAAAATCTCTGGCAGTGGGCACTGTACTGGCACTACCAAAAAATCTCAGAAAAGTCCAAAATATAGTCCCTGCCCTTGAAAAGCCTAAGATTTTGAGAGACATCCCTTCCTACAAGCTATACCCTCCTGCCTCTTCCCCTCCAATGCATACCTAGACTTTTCTAAAATACAATAATAATGAGCCAGGTCAGTCCTTGCTCAATCCTGGCAGCAGAATCACAGCGATGACAAGGTCCATGTGGACTCTGAGTGAATACAGCCCTCTGTCCCCTTTCCCTTGTCTTTCCATATCCTCCCCCCAGTCCCAACACCACTATTCAACACTTGGACCTAGGTACCAGTGACCAGATAAGGTTTTGCCGAGGTACACATACAAAGTGAGAGCAGGGCTCACTCCAACATTTCTCTGCTCAACAGCAGGACTGAACTTGGTGACCAATGAGCTCCGTATCTGTCCTTTAGATGCCTGGATATGCCTTACATCCCAGAGGAGTTCAGACCCCATTCCTCAGGGAGCAGGCAGAAGGGCTATACAACTAGAAACAAAGGCTGCTCCAAGTATAAACATTTCTACATCTAGGGCACAAGAAAAAAACCAATCCCTATATGCTTAGAGATTCCTCAATTTCTGAAGATGAAGTTCCCCCAAAAGTGTCCACTTAGTAGTATCATGAAAAACAACAATGAATTTTGGAAACGCCTCTACAGAGATGGGGGGTGGGGGTGGTAAAGGGAGGATTTCAGTCACAGCTGAATAGACTGCAGTGGGAAAAATACAAATCCCTATAAACTTATGAGTCAAAGATAGGTCAAGAAAGGAATTGGGGCTGGATTAAGTGATTCCCAATACTAAGCAGAGTCCCCAGCAATTGAGCAGACCTTTTCCTGTAACACAGTCATGCTATTAAAATGACTTGTCTCCATTCCAGAGCCCTGACTAAGCAAAGCTGGCTCAGCAGCCCAGCCTCAAGAAGCCACATACCAAACCCAGCACCTCCTGCAGTTTTCTCGAGCCTACCCCATGTGGGGCACTTAGGGAGGTGTCAGGATGCATTCTGTTCTTCTTGGTCCTCCCCAACATATATCCTGCAGGGGTGAGGTGGTGAGGGGGATCACTGTCCAGATCTGGGCAGAGAGAACATTTATTCTAAGCTCATCAAATCCAAACTGCCTTGGGCTGGATGACCAGCCAGAGTCCTTATCATCACCCCTACAACCTATAGGAAAATCTGTCTCAATTCTTTTAGATCAGAGTTTCTCCAAACTATTGACATTTGGGGTTGGATTAATTCTTGTTCTGGTGGACTGTCCTGTCCATTTGTAGTATGTTTGGCGGCAACCCTGGCCTCTATGCCCCAGAAAACATTAGCATCCCTTCCCCTATAAGAACCAAAAAGGCCTCCAGACACTGCCAAATGCCTCCTGGGGGCAGATGGATGGAAGGGAGGGAAGGAGGGAGTGAGGAAGGGAATTGCCCGCCGCTGAGAACCACTGCTTTAGATAGACATTTCTAAACTTCCTAATAGCTTCTGAATACCATGACAAGTCCCAAGACTAACGCTCTTTTCTTCCATCCTTCCCTCCTTCCTTCTCTCCTTGTTCCCTCCCTCCTTCTCTCCTTAGAAACAGAGCTTTGAATATTGATACAAAATCCAGAGCTCCAAGAAAAAGATGGACATGGATGCCGAGAGAAGTAACAGATGCACAATGATGATGCACATCAGTGACGACTTGGGGGAAAACAGTTGGAAACATCAGGTTCTCAAGACAAGTACTGCCTCTGGAAACTAGATTTCAGGAAGGCCTCAAATGCCCACTGCACCTGCCCAGCGCTGATGCCAGCTTCTTTCTTCTCCAGCAGTGTTTAACATCCTCTCTGATATAACCAAGCCACTAAACATTTCTCCAGGAAATGACTGCAGGCCCCAGCCCAAGCCCTGATTCCCCAGCCCCAGCTTCACAGCCCTAGTTCCCCTGCCATTCCCAACTTCCTAGACCATTCCTGACTACCCTTTTGGAGCTGTCTCACAGAGGTACTCACAGTCATCTCTCCAGGCAGAAAGGCTGCCCAGGAATGGGGATATGTAGAGACCAAGCAGACCCTGAGTCCTAGAGCCACTAAACTGAATCGCCAAGGGCAAATAAACAACAAAGCAATGGCTCAGAGTGGGGAGAGAAGGCTGGCTGGGGAATAGTGCTCACAACCTCCTACAGGGGAACAGAGATACAGGAAGGCTACAGAAGCTAGAGCTGAGTGGAGAAACATGGTGAAGATGTAGCAGGGGGATAGGAGACAGGAAGCCTAGCAAACTACAAGACTTCCACCTGCATTCCTGCCCAAACAGCTTCCTCAGGACAGTCCACGCTGTCCTTGGAGATGCTCGAGGAGGTAGACCCTCTTTCCTGAGGCCTGGTCCTTAGCAGCCCCATCTCAGCAAGCTCAGCTGGGGAAGCCAAAGGTCTTAACCCTTCCCAGCTTTGCTCTTGAGATAAGGGACAAGGGCACCACCAAGAATTTCGGCTTTGCACTCTTCTAAAATGGGCTTGTTAGAGCCCAAACTTATCTCATTGATCCTCTTGAAGGAATACCCAGCCCCATGGGGCTCTGCCCCAGATCCTCCCCACAACTCCTTTGGTGGTTAACCACATGCACAACTCCCCACCCTCAATATCCCCTCATCCCCATAACTGGAAAAACCAGTTAGGGAAGGGGTGTGTATATGTGCGCAAAGAGAATTTCTCCAAGCAGAGTCCAAAGCTTCCTAAACCACACCCATGGCTAGGGCCCTGGGTCTACAGCTTCCCTCCCCAACCCTCCTCTGGTTCCAACCAGCTGCTTCTCCTGGTTCTTAGCCTTTCCCTCCCTCACACAGCAGAGAAAAGGCCAATCTAATGGCCCAACTTCCCTGGCAACTGAGAGAATCGGGACCTCTAAGGGGCCAGCTATTACCCACCCTCCAAGCCTTGTGCCACTTCCCAACAGCCCCAGCACCTTTCCCTGGGCTGCACCTCTTGGCTGCTTTTTTCCTGCTGCAACTTCCATCCTGGTAGGTGCCCTCTGTTCCTTACTGTTTCCCAGCTTGGGGGCAAATGAGAGAAGAAGGCAGAAAGAGTGGAGGTTCAAAAAGCTTGGCAGTACAGGCCGACTGGCCCTGTCCCCAGCTCACATCCCACTGAAGTTCCTGGAAACTCTCCCTCAGCCCTAGCTAGATGATGGGAATGGGAATCTCTGAAGGAATGCAGCTCCTTGGTCAGGCGCCGAGGCCACTCCACATAACTCCCCTAACAAGCTGCTTCCTTGGGTGCATTTTTAAGTGTCAGGTCCAGAATGCAAACAATTATAAAGCTTTGCAGAATAGCAGCAACTTCCAAGGGTAGATGTCAAATTGGCAGGCAAAAATTAACAGCCCCAGGAAGCAGCAGAGCAGCGACTTTCTTTTCGAGCCCCTCTATTGCAAATTAGCAGGATAAACCTCAGCCTGTGTGGGAGGATACCACCCCTGTTCCCTAGGCATACCGCCTGGTGCTGGCAGGAGGCCAGCAAACTCGCCGAAGTTCAAATCCACTACTCACAGAGAAGACATGTTAGTCTCTTGCCCAACTGGCCCTCAACCTCCAACAGACCAGAAACTCCAGTCTAATCAGCTGGTACCCAAGATGAATATTTAGCAGGGGTGTTCTCTGCCTCCCCCAGCGCCCCATTATCACACATCCAGAACAAAGACCTGTTTGTTCCTGTGGGAAGTGAGGCAGCACAAGAGCTGAATAATCCATCCTGAATCAGAAACAACCCTAATCTCACAGAGCACAGGCTGGGCCAAGACCAGAGAGAGGGCTCCTGAGAAGTCAGAGCCACTGGCAATCCTAGGCAAAGTGTTAAACTGACATTCAGAGTTCAGCAACAAGAGACCCCTGAAGCCTCCAGAGGGGCTCCAAATTCTTGGACCTGTTGCCAGGGAATGAGAAAGGGATAAACCCATGGAACCTAACAGAAAGAATATTCTCCCTTCTATTTCCCTCTGGCCTCCCTTATCAGGTCTAGAAATTCAGACTAGCTGCTATGGGGAATACAAAGGTGGAAAAACATGCCCAGGGCATTGTCCTAACTATAGACTCTTGAAACCCACCCCAACACCCACCCCGCAAGGTCAAAGCAAAACCCAAATCTACAATGTAGTATACTCCAGAACAGGTGCTTTGGTCACTCCCTGCCCTTTCTCCTACACCCCGCCTCCCTTTTCTCTTTCTGCTACTTGATACACAAAGCTCCAAGGATCCAGAAGCTAGGTGAGCAGTTAAGGAAGATGCCCCAACTCCAACTTTGTCCTGTATAATCCTTACCCCTGGCTCTCACTTATCCGTCCAAGAAGCAACCAAGCTGCTCCTACATTTTCTTGCCTTCTCATGCAATAACCTAAAGTAAAAGCAAGTCCTCTCTAATGAGGAGGCAGAGGCCCAGATATACTTGCCGCCTGCTTCCCCTTTTCTCTAACCTGACTTAAGAAGGCCCAGGGAACAACTCTGTTGCCCAGGACAATGCCTCCAAAATTCTTCCTCCCACTCATTACCCCAAAACAATCCTAAACAGAGTCTGAGATCTTGGAACTCTGGACAGGGAGAAGTGGTTGAAGCTGTCTCTTTCTCTTAATTTCAGTTCAGTCGATACAAGAACATACCCCCACCTGAAAGACTTTCCCTACATGGCACAGAAGCTGCCCAAGCCTTGTCAAAGATTAGAGAACATTTAGGACTACAGCATTGCCAGTGCCTGCTGTATTGGGGGAAGAGCAGAAAACTACAGACCTCTCTGCCCACTGAAGCAGCCACACTTGGTGCTCCCAAGGGCCCTGGATAGTAATGTCACATTACAGTTTCTGCCAAACCAGGGGAAACTGGAATGTACCCTGCAAGAGAAGTGGGGAGGCAGGTGAGGTTGGGATGGGAGGGGGACAGGACAACAGAGATGCCTCTTCACTCACTAGAGAGGAAGACTTTCTTCCACTCTGGAATATTACACGAGGAGGCAAGAAAATATAGAAGCAGACTGGATGCTTCTTGGATGGATGAGCCTAGGGGTAAGTGCTGAAGCTAGGGGTAAGGGCTGTACAGGGTAAAGTTGGAGTTGGGTATCTTCATCAACTGCTCACCTAGCTTCTGGGTCTTTAGCTCTGATCCTCACAGCTCCTGACCTCAGCTCCGGGTAAAAAACTGTCTTTTCCTCAGTGGTAAGGGAAAAAGCCCCGCTCTTCAAACTCTTCTGCTGTCCTAGGGATCTCGCTCCCGTGGTCTTCCTGCTATGACCCAGTTTTGCATGGCTACATACTATACGCTCTGCTCCTAGGAAACAGTCTCTCTGTGGGTCTGAGAATGGCTGCTGTTTCCCCAGAAATGCTGGTCCAGAAAGACAGAAGGCGAAAACTATGAAACGAATGGCTACGATCTAATGAAGGAATACATGGTCCTCTCTTCAAAAGATTCCATTCTTCTGAGAATCTGGAGGTTTCTCTCTACTGGGCCACTTCTCTAATGTGTTAATTAAGACTATGTTCTCCAGCTTCAAGGCCTAAGACAGAGACAGAGAGAAGACATGGGCAGAGAGAGCACGCCAGCAAACAGCTCACTGCTTCTCTCCTCTTCATTGAACTACACTGAGACACACACATATTATTTGAGCAGAACTAGAGGCTCCATTAAAGAGGATGAGGGCAGAATTAAAATGAATGACAAAAAATAAACCCAACCCAGGCTGGACCATCCATTTTTTGTTGACCCTTGAACTCAAGTTTGCCAACACATCCTCTCACTTGCTGGAAGACAATTCTCTAGAGTCTTGCATTTCCGTCCTTCTTCTGAGCAAGAGGAATTGACAGCTCCAGACTGTATTTTCAAGGACATTCATATAGCAAACAGCCTTGGAAGAAAGAGATAGTGTCTCCTTCCAGGGCAGAGGCAGAATTGTTTTTTGACCAGAATGATAATGCCTCCTTACAGGGCAAAGGTTGGGCAGGTTTGCTAGCAGCTCCTGAAAAGACAGGTTTTTCTAAGCTCAGGCTCCTCTGCTGGGACACAGACTGCTGTGGATTGAATGTCCCCCCAAAACTCACTGAAGCTTGACCTCCATTGTAACAGTTACAAAGAGGGTGGGAAACCAATTATGGTAATTAAAAGGTGCCTTTAAGAAGTGATTAGATTGTGAGGCCTTGCTCTTGTGAATGGGTTAATCCATTCATGAATTAATGGACATGGTTCTGATGGCTTTAAAAGGAGAGCAAGTAAGGAGGTTAGCTCTCTCTTGCTCGGCCCATTTGCCATATGACATCCTGCATTGCTGTGGAGAGTCACCACCAAAGAAAAGACCCTCATCAGATGTGCTCCCTGGACTCTGGATTTCCCAGCCTCCAAAACTGTAAAAAATAAATGTTATTCCTTTATAAATTACCCAGTTTCAGGTATTCTGTTATATGCAACAGAAACAGACTTGAAGTGTGTGCAGCTTCTTTTTTTTTTTTTCCTTTTTGTCTTTTTTACTGACCGGTAACGGGATCGCAACCCTCGGTGTCGCGCCCGTACCGGGGACCGGCAACGGGATCGCAACCCTCGGTGTCGCACCCGCACCACGCTCAGCCAGTGAGCGGGAACCGGTCTCCACATGGGATCTGAACCCTCGGCAGGAGCGCCACTGCGCTCCCAAGCGGCGCACTCTCCAGTGCACCACCGGGCCGGCCCGAAGTGTGTGCAGCTTCTATCTGTACTTCTACAATAAAGCCAGAGGCCTTGTGAGCAAGGGGAACCTGTATAAACATGAAGCTCATACTGCCTGCTGTGCTGTGAGTGATAAAGTTCCTTGTGACCCAGGAGTCTTGTGTCTTCTGCCAGCATCTATGAAACTGGGGCTATGCAACTCGTTAGCTTGTTTGTGTCTTCCCCAAAATGTTGAAACCTAATCTCCAATGTGCTGGTACGTGCAGGTGGGGCCTTTGGGAGAAAATGAGGACCAAGATTAGAGCCCTTGTGAAAGGGACCTCAGAGAACTTCCTCACCTCTTCCACCACGTGAGGACACAGCAAAAAAGACAGCCATCTTTAAACCAGGAAATGGACCCTCACCAGACACAGAATCCACTGGCATCTTATTCTTATCTCATTTAATCCTAACAATAACCTTACAAGGTTTTACTACTACTGTTGTTGTTAGTATCATCACATCATCATCATCATTTTATAAGAGAAAAACAGTCCCCACAAAAGTTAAGTGATTTGAGGGCCGGCCCGTGGCTCACTCGGGAGGGTGCAGCGCTGGTAGCGCTGAGGCCGCAGGTTCGGATCCTACATAGGGATGGCCGGTGCGCTCGCTGGCTGAGCGCGGTGCAGACCACACCATGCCGAGGGTTGCAATCCCCTTACCGATCAAAAAAAAAAAAAAGTTAAGTGATTTGCCTAAGGACACATAGCTAAGGAAGCGCACCTATTGGACTCTAAAGCCTTCCACATTTTTTTTTTTTAAAGCTTTTGGATTTCAGTTCATTCAAGGGCCAGGCTTTAATCACTCAGCTTCTCTGTCTTTGCTAAGATGCTTCCTCTGATGCCCGCTTTCAGGAGGAGCTCCAAAAGGTGGGACCAAGTCTGGCCACAGTGAATGAGGTAAACCCGTGAGTGTCTCTTCCTGTTCCAGTTCTTCTGCAGCCCCCAGAGATGACCCAGCCCGCCAACTCTTGCCACTGCTTACCCACAATATCTTCATAAGCATTCTCTTCTAAAGTGCTTTTGGATCCAAACTTGGGTTGGCTCTCAGTACCATTCTCAGTGGGAGAAGAGGGGTACAGGGACTGGAGGCTGGATGCATCCTCAAACTCAAAGGATTTTCTGTGGATAACAAGAGCAAGAGTCATTCTGGCTGAACCAGATCTTGCTGCCTTGCTGGGGAATGGCCATGGGCAACAACATGGATCCAAACTTACCATCCAAATAAAGAGACAGATGGTCTAAAAGGCCCCAACATACTTCAGGGGTGCCTTATCCCTAATAATACCAGTATTATGTAACAACTACTATAGCTTAAAAGCATGCCATCTGTCAGGTGCTGTGTCAAAGGCACCTTTACATGTGTATCTCGTTACTTTTTACAACAGTGCTACCAGGTATTCTGCCATTTTACAAACGAGGAGATTGAAGTGACAGAGGCAGGATTCACCCAGGCTGACTCCAGGGACTGAGCTTTTAACCACAATTCCAGGCTGACTCCAGGGTCTGAGTTTTTAACCACAATTTTGGCCTCCAAGCCCTTCAGAACATCCTTCTTGAGAAGTGTCTGCCATTACCACAGGAACTGAGTGCTTGATCTGCCTCTGGAGTCTCACATCCACGTGTGCATCCTAGCTAGGACTCCTGCTCCTGCACTAAGCAGATGGTAAGGGCTCAACACTGGAAGGGTCATGCTCAGGGCTATCAGGGGGGTTGTGTTGGGTGGTGTGTTGAAACAGAAAGGGCTGAGCCATCAAAACAAATGAGACCACTTCTGAGGTGAAGCTAGGAGGACAATTTGCAGCTAGAAGCTACTTCTAAGACCCAGTGTCCCTTCAGCTAGTGGCCTGCTTCTTTCCATTCCCCAAATAACCCACCACTGTACTGTAGAATTTCAAGACCATGGCTTGTTTGCTACTAAGATGCCCTGAGTCCAGTCCTCTCTCCATTATCAGAGAGGTGCTTGCCTCATCTAAGACATGACCCCAGCTGCATCCTCTTCCTCTCCAAGGCAGGTCCCAACAGGCTTCTGGAGAGGGAGAGAAGGATAGGCACTGCCTGAATCTCTCCTCTCACCCATTAATACCTCCTTCTTCTTTTGTGTACCATCAGGCCTTTCAGCCAATGAAGTTCTTTCTCTCTTGTCTACTGAACAACTCTTCCTGGGAGTACTGGCATGCAAGGCAAGGACTTAAAGTGTCCTGAAGGCCACATCTTCTTAGCTTTCCTGGCCCTTCTGTGGCACTCAATGCAACCAAATACTCTTCATATTGGCACTCTCTTCCCATTACCTTTAT